TACAGTATTGACAGGATAATTTTTCCTACTTGCTGAAATGCTTGTATTTCAATGCTTGTATTTCAGCATTGTTAGTTTTTGAACTACAAATGTTCATTCCTTGTGGAAAACTTTCTTTGTCCATACTAGTAAAATGAATTATCTTTATAGAATTTTTGCTCAGTATGCAGCTGAAGATTTCATTGCCCAAATTTATAAGATACTTTTTCTCTTCTTGTCATACCATTAAATTTTTTTGTTAAAATTTGTGGCATATTTTCACTATAATGCAACCTGATAAGATTTTATACACTTAAAATATTTTGAATAAAAAGAATAGTTTTCATTTATTGATTTCTTAGTATCTGCCAGTTATAGTATTAATGTTCCACATTATTTATCTTTAGTAGAAGTATGTCAAAGAGGTTAGTAACTTGTTTTAGATCACAGAACTAACAGGTAACAAACAGAGCTGGAATTTGACTCTAGATCCTTCTGACCTCAAAATACATTACCATCATGGAATTTTTCTTCTAGGTCACTCCAAAGGAAAAATGATCTTTTTTCCAGTCTTTTTTATTCCTGTTTTTCTACCAACAGACAGTAAATAAAATTGGGTAGTAAAACAGCAGTTACTGGCATTGGTTTTTTTTTTGTTTGTTTGTTTTAAATTTAGCAGGTAACTAACTTTAAGATCATACTTTCTTATAATCTAAGACTTGTGGATCTGGATAACAGGAACTACCTTATATTCCTGTGAATATTCAGTTGTTAAAATTAATTGGCTTCAACTGTTTTTGTATCACTTTGCTTCAGTTTGATACTTTTGATTGGTCTAGTTTATTATATCATGTGCCTTTTCCTGAGCTAGGAAAGATACTATTGTAGTCAGGGGTTGTAAGAACAATTAGAATCAGGACACAGAATTTATAATATTATTTATGATGGTCACCCAGAGTTAATACAAGAAAGTGCAGGAAATCCATCCACAACACTAAAGACATAGAATAGTCAGCCAAGGGCCTGAATCCCACAGCAGTGTCCTGTATGAGTCTAGATGAAAATCTAGAGTCCATGACAATGCCTCCCTGGGGCCAACTGGAGCTCTAGAGCCCACAAGAAAGACTCATTCCAGTCTGTTTTACGGATCCATGCTGGGAAGGCCCAAAGGTCAGTGGTGGAAGCCAGAAAGTCCATGCCAGTGTGGTGAAGGAGCTGCGCTAGCAGGTTGAGGGTTCTGTGCTGGAGCCGAGAAGTCACGCTCATATTGAAAAACAGGGCTGTCCTGAAAAGCACCACAGCCATCCTCAGCAACACAGAGGTCTGGAGCTCCAGCGGTTCGAACAGCAACACATAGGAGAACCCACAACACCTCGCTTCTCCTTTTCCACGTCTCTATTTATACTGTCAACTTTCCTCAGGTGGACCATCTATGCTCAGTACTATGGTGATTTAATTCCGTTAGTGTTGACACCCCAGTATTTACTGTATAACAGATAACCTTCACATGGCCTCTCACCAATATCCTGTGCAGTGAAGAGTAGACATTTCTTAAAATAGTTGAGCTTTGTTATAGAAAAGAGAGAAAAGTGATACCAAGTGAACAAAAACAGGGTCTGTGTTTTGTCTGGAAGAACTCTTCATCTTCCAGAGCTACCTTCCATATATCTATTTTAGAAAAGCCATATTATCATTTTCTAATCAGCCAACTCTGGAAATATTTTAAGAAAGAAGGAAAGAGAGGTGGCACAGTGGCTTATTCCTGTAATGCCAGCACTCAGGAGGCTGAGACAGGAGGATACTGAGGTTGAGGTTAGCCTGGGCTACATAGCAATTGCTAGGCTAATCTGGACTATAGCTTGAGACTGTCTCTAAACAAACAAAAAATAAAGGAAAAAGACAAAGTGTACTTTATGTATGAAGTAATTTTAATTTGTACTTGTTGCAATAGAAAGATATATACTTCATTTGTGCATAAATTGAAGTTGAGAGGTAAAGTTGAATAATTTGTATCATATATATATGATCATATATAGAGATAGGTACTGGTGATTGCACTCATGACCTTGTAAAGTGCTTGAGCCATCGAACTAAATCCCTGGCCCTAAAAATATCTTTATAGTTACCAATTTCAGTATATGGAAAGGAGTCAGAGAATCTCAAATTTTTGTCAAGATATTGTAAGTATTCCTGTTGTATTTATTCTCCAGTTACATTTTTTAAAAACAAAATGTGTAGTACTTAGACTAAATTTCATAAAGTGGAAAGTACTGAATAAATACAGAATGGGTTAGAGATAAGGGAAGAGCTAAAATCTGTAAGTATAGATTTGAATGTATCTTATGTAAATGAACATGGGCATTGCTGTGCAAAGATTTGGCCTTTAAACTCAGTCAACAGTGGGGAAGTATTTGTTCTGGAGTACTTTTACTAGAACACTGGCATCAATATAGTAGGCTTCCTTCAGAAGTTTTAATAGCGTCCCAAGACAAACATTCACATGCATAAAATAGGGAAATAGAGAAATCTTGTTACATAAAAGCAAATAGTTATTTAAGTTTATTAGTTACTTTTTGTTAGCCTTTGAAATAAAAACCCCCTGTTGGGTGGGTTAGCTTAATGGTAGAGGGTTTGTTTGGCACATATGGTCCTGGGTTCAATTTCCAGCACTGAATGCATACATGGACACCCAACCAACCCCGTTTATATTCATGTCTTGTCTTATTGCATCTTTGGATTACCAAGAGAGAGTTGTCAATTTACAGTATAGTTAACTTGATTTTTATCTTACCATTAATAAAATTAGCTACTGTATTGACATGGTAATTTTTGGTGTATTCCTTTTTCCTTATTTCCTGTTTTAAGATGGTCTCTTGCTATGGTTTAGTGATGTTTATAGTAATTGAAGTTTAGATTCTGGTTTTGCCACATAATAGTTTTCTTTCTTTCTTTTTTTTTCTTAAAGACAGAGCCTTGCTGTGTAGCCCAGGCTGACCCCAATCTCCATTGTTCACTTCCTGTCCTCCCAAGTGCTGGGATTATAGGCCTGATCGGTTTTTTATCTGTAAATAGAAGAGAATGTCAGTCTAAACCAAAAAGATCTAAAGAGTAGTCTAGGAAATTTGCTCAGTTACCTAAAAATAAAACATGAGATACACAAATCTCATGTTTTATTTTTAGAATATTCTTTTATATATCAGTGTAGTACCACTATTTCTATTTTAAGTCAAATGATTATATTTCCATTCATATGACATACTTGTAAGTACTGTAATCTCTAGATTATTATTTGGAAGCATAAGAATCTGTGTTAATTGCTAAATAATTTGAGAATGTAAAGTCATTTATGCTAAAGTCACCTATTTGAGCTTAATGAAATTTTCACAGTTTTCAGTACTCTGGAGAAGTTTTAAGTGCTTCTTTGCTTACACATCTTTGTATTATGTACTATAGCATATATCATGTAGTTTTCAAGAGTGCTGAAAAATACCTAATATTTATTTAAAGGTAGCTTACTTGTCCAAAGTTACTTAGTCTACAGGACTAGATTTTGGGCCTTTTGTTAATGTAATTTTGCGCTTTTTACTTATGATTAGGTCCATCAGATTTCTCTATTTTCATAGCCTGGTTCACATCCCTATGCAAGTATAGTATGTGGGGAACATATATATGTGCACTTATTTAGAAAAGTTAGTTTTTATTGCAATGTATATATGTTTATCTAATTGTAAACTAGAAAAAGAAAGTTCATTGTTTTTCCTAACAATCTGGTCTTTACTGGTAGTCATTATTAATGTATTTATTATATCTGTTTATATTGTTTTCTTTGTATATATAAGGATACATTTGAAGCATAATTTTTAAACCAAAATAAATTTTACAAAATAAAATTTAAACATACTGATCTATACTTGTCCTTTTAAAAATATATTACTGTAGCCAGCTTTCTATGTCAGTGAATACTGTATGGTCTCTGTCTCTGACTGTCTGTCTGTCTGTCTGTCTCTCTCTCTCTCTCTGTCTCTCTCTCTCTCTCTCTCTCTCTCTCTATATATATATATATATATATATATATATATATATATATAGTATACTATACAATGGAAAGGTACTCAGCTATAAAGAAAGACAACCCAGAGGCCTTTGTAGATAAATGGATACAACTTGAGATGATGCTCATGGATGAAATGTTTCAGAGTTACATGGATGCATGTCATGCTGTCTTCCTAGCATAAAAAACTAAAGGAGTTAGTGGGATCCAAAATGCAGAATACATACTGTGAAAGTGAAAGGGGAGGAAGTGTCTAAAAAGGGAAGGCAGTGGCCATTGTTAATCTATTATCATGGTTTGAAACCTGTCTTGTTTTCATTGTTCTGTCTGGTTTTAATCTGTTTCAGTTTGTCTAATTTTATTATATTTGATGGCATGGGAAGCTGTTTCACAGATAACAAAATATATTGTGGTAGCCACTATTGATTTCCTATTATCTTGTTTTGAAGCCCCGTGTTACTTTCATTATTTTGTTTTAATTGATTTTATTCTATTTTGTTTTGATTATATCATGTCTGAAGGTAGAGACAACTACTTGGAAGATAACAAGAGGCATTGTGGTAGCTACTGTTGTTTTACTATTGTCTTATTTTGAAATCCTGTACTGCTTCCATTGTTTTGTTTTTATTGGTTTTATTCTTTACTATTTCGTTTGATTTTATTATGCCTGATGGTATAGGCAGTTCTTTTGAAGATAACAAGAGGTATTATGGTAGCCATTATTCATTTCCTTGTATTTTGTTCTAAAGTCATGTACCATGTTCATTGTTTTGTTTTGATTGACTCTATTCTGTTTTATTTTGTTTAATTTCATTCTCTTCAAAATAAAAAAAGAAATATTTCCTCTATTACATGAATATTATTTTTAAGTGATCTTGTTTCTATATGATGTCCCAATGAACTTCTAAGGTTTTAAAATTCACTTTTATCCTTTATTAAACATTCTCCTTTTTCCTTCTTTACTCTGTAGGAACTCATTATACAATGACAAATGGAGGCAGCATTAATAGTTCTACACACTTACTGGATCTTTTGGATGAACCGATTCCAGGTGTTGGTACATATGATGATTTTCATACTATTGATTGGGTGCGAGAGAAGTGTAAAGACAGAGAAAGGCATAGACGGGTAAGATAATTGTTTTTAATATTGCTTGTTATAGATCATTTATCTAAGGCCACTACCATATTTAAGTAAATTTTTGCATTTTATGTGCAATACATGCTTTTTTCTTTTTCTGTGTGTGTTTCTTTTTGTCATTTATATGCGAATTTTTCCAGAAAGGAGTGGAGGTAGCCTAAAAACAAAGAAATACGATTAAAAGACAATATAGGAAGGGAATGGAAAAGTATAACACAGATGTTGGGGAGGGAATTAAATCAGACATAGGTAGTTCAGCTTTTTGGTATAGCAATTCTGCAATTAAGAAAGAAAACTTGTTGCATAAATGTTATGAATAAAGAACTAATGAAGTAATTTGTGGGGTTTGCTGTTTTCTTTAGTTTCTTTTCCCAGTACTACATTCTGAGACATTTCTCAGACTGGACCCTAAATAAGGTTTTTTATGACTTGAAACATCATTAATAAAAGAATTTTAACTTTAGCATAAAGTCCAATGTACGGATCCTTTTTATTGTTAATGATGACTTACTGGTATAATATAATTCATATATATATATATATATTTTAATTTTAAAAAGCAAGACAAAAAATTATAGAAATGATACAGAATTCAAAAAATAGTAGGAAATTAACACTGCTTAGCATATTGCATATTGTTATCTTAGAAGTAGTTGTTCAGGTTACAAGATTTAGGCATGAAAAAAAATGATCAAACAGTCCAACAATGAAAAATATGTCTTTGAGAAAAAATTCCAAATCCTCAAAGGCTTAAAAGAATTTATGTTCTGATAAAAGACCATTAAGTCTCAATCTGCTTTTGCATTCAGTATATAAGGAAAATTCACCTTCATACAGATAATGTAGTTGGGATTGCTGTAAGTATGTTAAGAGCCTTTTAGATTATTGTGGCTGTTGTTTGATGTGAAACATGCATCAAGTAATAGTTTCAAAAGTTAGTTGTATGTGTACTCTGAAATTGTATCAATACATTTTGTGATTAAAATCCATTAATTCACCTTAAACTTTGAATGTATGACTTTTATAATATCACAGTGATCATTTGAAAAAGTTACTCACTGATTTATATAGATCTTTTAAATGTTGACACCTTTCATAATTTGGTGTCAAAATGCGTTTAGAATGAATAGTGTGCGCTAGGGATGTAGTTCAGTGGCACAGTGCCTGCCTGGCATGAATGAGGCTGTGAGTTCAGTCCCTGGTACCAAAAAAAAGAAAAAGAATGAGCACTAATTTTCATATTAAGTTGATATTAACACCATGGGTCTCTTAAGAGTCTTTACATACTATTGCCTCATAGTGATAGATATGTTTTTCAAAATTCTAACTTTTGCTTGAAAGGTCACATTTTGTTACTGGAAACAGAAACACTTACTTTACATGAAATGACAGGGCTACTTTGTTCATTATTGAGAAAGCATCAGATTCCCAAGTTGCCAAATCATGGTTTGGTGTCAGTTTTTCTTTCAAGTAAAAATGGTGTGTCATGCGAGTACCTAGTTTGATTACTCAAATCAAAAGTGGTTTTCTGGAGCCCTTATTTTGTTTGATCAGTTTTGCATGCCTATATCTTATAATCCGAGTGAGTACTTTGAAGATAACAATATATAATATGTTAACCATTGTTAATTTCCTATTATATTGTTATGAAATTCTGCATCATTTTTATTGTTTTTTTCTCTTTAAAATAAAGTGCTTTAACTTGGGATGTAGTCACATATTTATTGTGCAGAAGTGCTTTGTGTATAGCTCTTATTTGATCACATAGCAGATAATGTACAATAACTTCTATTACCTCCTCAAAGATATTCTTAAGGGAGGGTGACATTTATTAATTTATTAGTGGGATGTGTAGCAACCAGGAATGTGTTGCTCATCAGTACCTTTGGGTACCACACTTTCATTCATGCTAAGAAGACAGCAGTTGCTTATGCATAATCAGTTAAAATACTAATACAGTGGGAACAAGGGGATATAAAAACTTAGTATTATTATAGAAATAGTTTTTAATCTTTTAGATCTTTTAAAAGGGTTTTAGGACTCTCTAGGGTATTAATATATCCCCATACGGCAACGATGGTAAAACTTTTAGCTTTCAGTGATACAGCCTGCTGTGGCATGAATGCTATAGGTTTGCCACCACTCCTCTAGGGTATTAATGGATCACATTTTGAGCACCACTGTTGGAATACAAAAGTGCCTAAGTCAGACATGCTGTAAATCCTGTGCCTTATATGATTACTAGGTAATTATGTTTGCACTTCAAAGAATATATCCTAAATCATGAATAATATTCAGATTGGGGTTTAAATGTGCTTTAAAGTGTGGTACCCTGACAGTATTCCTAATATACCATGTTCATAAACTTTTAGAGAAAATTGAGACCAAAAAGTATCAAGACAAACTGTATTTCCTTCTGATTATATAAACGGTTCGTAGTTCTTGAAGACATTTGTAGTTCTTGAAAACATTTCAAGTAATGCAGTATTATGTGAAGTAGCCCATATGTGTCTTAATAGTTTTCTGTTTTTGATCCATGGTTTAGTTATAATATTTTTTTAAAGTAGGAAAACTCCACAGATTGATATTCTTGCTGTTACTAGTATTAAATCAAAACTTTCATTTCCTGTAGTATATATATTCACTATACTTATATTTTTATCCATTTTGATATATATTTATGTGTGTTTATAGTCTCACTTAACTCTTTATAATAATCCTTTTTGTTTTACTGTACTTGAAGCCTTCTGTCCCAGACTTTTTTTTTTTTTTCTTTTTGAGACACAGTCTCACTGTGCAGTTCAGGATGGCCTGGAGCTTACTTTGTAGCCCAAACTGATTTTGAACTTGCAACAATCCTCCTGCCTCAGTCTCCTGAGTGCTGGGATTACAGGTGTGAGCCATCATGCCCGGCCAGTCCCAGATTATTTTGAAGTAAATATATCATTTCAAATATTACTGTTTTATTATTTTACAGGGTAAGTCTAAGGTAATTAATTATCCTTCATTTTTTATTTGCTAGCTTGAATACTTCTCTAAAGAGATACTTCCTCTCATCAGCTATTTGGAGTTCCTGACATATAGACTATATTGAAAAAGGAAAGTTTGAAATAATGGAATTAGAGTATTCAAAGCTGACCAATGAAATTTTTGTTTATTTTTTTTTCTTTTGTATCTTGATGAGCCTATGAATTTAAACCTGTTTGATGTGTCTTTATTATTAGTTATTTTTGTTGACAAGGTCCATGTTGTTCTACTTTTGACTGGAGGAGTGTTTTGTGTCTGTGTCTTCTGACTCTTCCTTAGTCCTGAGGTTTTCTGAGAAACCACCATGTTGCGGATACTGCTTACACATTTTTATCTGCAAGCCCTGGCTTGACCATTTCTCCAGGAGTTCTATCTGAGCACTGGTGGATTGCTTTCTTACCCTGGTTGGCCTTTATTCCTAGTGTTCTATGCTTCTACTATTCTAATTTAAATTCATTCTAATAGGCTTAGTTTCTAGTTCTCAAATCGTGTATCTTCTTTAAGCTATACCAAAAATCTCAACAGTATAAAAATAATTACTTTACTGCAAAACATAGCCACACAGAAGTGTCAGACAGTAGTATCAAAGCTATCATCGTTATGCTTTCTGAAATTTTTTGAGTTTCCTTTTCTGTACTACTTTTTGTTGTATTTAAAATCCTTTGGAATACTTCCTTTGTGTGTTACTGTTAAGTTTCCATCTTTCTTTGGAAAATACAAGAATATGTCTTTATATTCTTATCTCTTAATCAGTATGTCTTTAGCCACTTGGCTTTTATCTATCATAACAATGCATCTGTTTCATTCCTTGTTTTTTTTTTTTTTGGTACCAGGAATTGGACTCATGACCTTGTGCTTGCCTGACAGGCACTTATGCCACTAAGCTAAATCCCTAGTGCCTTCATTCCTTTTTAATTGCATTAAAACTTTTCATTCTTAGATGTTTATTAGTACAAACTACACTGATACTGATCAGCATTTAGATGACTTCCAGATTTTTGTTAGCAGTAGTGATGAATGTACTCTTGTACCCACAGAAGGTTTTGGTATACACTGTCAAGAGTTTGAGTGACTGTGGGGATGTGCAGGCAGTGGTATAAAGAGAACATTACTAACTCAGCCTGCAAATGATGTAATAATATATATTCAACATTACGATTATTTTCATTGAGGAAAACCAACATGGAAGTGGTTATTTTTAAAGGAAATGGTCTATCATCAATTTCAAAAATAGTTAATGTCTGCATTTGAATGCTTATAGTATAGAAGTACAGTTGCCTCATTCAATTTAGAACTTACTGTGTCTTTTTAATGAGGCCTTGTGGCTTAACACAGGCCATGTACTTAAAATAGACCAGGTATTGAATTTCAGCTGAAGCCCTGAGTCTTAGGCAGAGAGTATAGCTCAGTAAAGCAGTAATCCTAGTAAGACAGAAGAGGTCTGTACTATTTAGGGGTAGGTTTAGAGAGAGGTGGGACTTTTCTTCTTGATTTCCTAGCTCCTTACATGATAGTCTGTAAAAAGATTTTTTTTTTCCTAACTTACATAGTGATGAAAGAGTCTCTGGACCTTATCAAGGGCTTGGTGCTTTCCCCTCTATATATTTGGAGGCCTACAAGTTTTGGGGCCTCTTTGTCCACATAACTGTTCTATACTGTGTTATATGTATGATAATTTATTATTACTTACTGATTTTACCTTTTAAGTAAATAATGTAATCCATTTAATTACTACTAGGAGCAGAGAATGATAGACATTTCTAGTTACTACTGTAACTTCTGATATAAAAGATACTCATGTATATCTATTAAAGTTTGAATTTTATTGATTTTGACAGTGCAGTTAAGACTTTTGTTTACTATATAGGCACTCAAATGCAGAGGTTCTGATTAAAAGTACAGGGCTTTGAGTAAAGAATTGTCATCTGGCTTATAAGTACAACAGTAATTTTGCCTACAACTCACTTTTTCTGTTACTTAATTCAGAAGATACGGTTGTATGTGTATGATAACCAAGAAAAAAATGACTTCTCTTTATAGTTTGAAAAATAAAGCATAAACTTTTGTAATTTCAGATCAACAGCAAAAAGAAAGAATCAGCATGGGAAATGACAAAAAGTTTGTATGATGCATGGTCAGGATGGCTTGTAGTAACACTAACAGGACTGGCATCAGGTAAAGAAGAATTTTAAAGCAATCTTTTTTTTAAGTTAAGAGAACTGTAAGTAGTTCTGCCCTAATTTCCTTCATGTTTTCCGTCCCTTACTGTTGGATTTTTTAAAAACTCCTTTCTTTCCCTTGAAGGATCTTCTTAAATAAAAGACTAGGAGCAGGCTTCTGAGTCTTAGATATAGAAACTGAGCCCAAAAGGTCAACCAAGTTGGACAGACTCTTAAAGTAACACAGCCAAACACTACTTTAAGAGTCTGTCCAACTTGGTTGACTTTTTGGGCTCAGTTTCTGTATCTAATTAACTGGCTTGGACAAGATGATCAGTAAAGTAGTTTTTAATAATTAGTCGGTACTTACTGAGTGCTTCCTATATATCAGATAGTGTTCTAAAAACTTTCTGTGTGTTTAAATTGCCTTGCAACTCTAGTGATATAGATAATATCCTTGAAAGCATGGTACAAACGAGGGGACTGAAGCACAAGAGAAGTGAATACTTACTTGGTTGAGGTCCTGTGGCCTGTAAGTGGCATAGCTAGGCTTTGAGTTCCAGTCGTCTAGCTCAGAGACTTCTCCTTTAATTGTTGAGCTGTACAGCATGGATCCACAATCTGTTTGTGTGAAATTTTAAGTTATAGTTGAGGATCTGAAAGCAAATATTGACAATTTTAATCACTTTCAATTTCCATCATGGAAGTGATATCCAGAAAACATGCCAAGTAAAACTTCTATGAAGACTAGAGAGAAGTATTGGTAACTATATTGACATGTGCAAGAATTTTGTGGCCTCTCTATGTGTGGCTTATTGAGCTTTTTCATAAGAATTGCACATATTTGACCAGAAACTTATGTATTTTGGGTCTTCTTTCAGTGAAATAATCTTGATACATATAATTTTCCATTGTTTAAGAAAAAAAATTTAAAACTCGTATTCATGAGTGATATGTGTTTTGCTAGTTATAATAGATATTAAATTATAATGAAATTGCTATCATTATGTTAATTTTTAGATTGGAACTGCTAGTTAAAAAAAACCGTCACTTCAGGAGCCCAATTTTTGAACTTCCTGCCAAGTAGCTATCATTTGAAGGTGTTTTAATATTCTTTAAACAGCTGTGTTTTTTTTTTTAAGGACAGTGATTAATTTGAATGATGTGATTGGGTTTTAATTCCAGACCGAGTAGGAATTTTAAAGAAGTCACTTTGATTTTTTGTTCTTTTTAAAGTAATTACATGTATTTATAACCAAAATTTAAACATTTTAGAGTCATTTAACAGTCCCTCAGTGAGCCTTTACTCATTTCCATTAACCTTTTAGCTGGATAGTTTATAGCTTTCAGAAAATGAACTTTTTTTTGGTACTGGAAATCTAACTTGGGACCTTGAGTTTACCAGGCAGGTGCTGTGCCACTATATCCCTGCTACATATGGCCTTTTTTAAAAACCATCTCAAACATTTCACAGGAGCACTGGCTGGATTAATAGACATTGCTGCTGATTGGATGACTGATTTAAAGGAAGGCATTTGCCTTAGTGCATTATGGTATAACCATGAACAGTGTTGTTGGGGATCTAATGAAACAACATTTGAAGAAAGGGATAAATGTCCACAGTGGAAAACATGGGCAGAATTAATAATAGGTCAAGCGGAGGTAAGTCTTGCTCAAAATGAATTATCATTGGTATAGAAAAATGTCTCATCTATTTATAGAATATGTACAAATTACCTAGGTTATGGTACAAATGTATTTATTATGAGGTATGGTAGAAAAAAATGATAACCATTACAGTTGTATTTGTAAAGTTAACATGACATTAATAAAGCAAGTTAACAATCGTGGTGGCACACTTCTATAAACTCAGTACTCTGCAAGGCTGACACAGGAGGATTGCAAGTTCAAACCCAGCCTGGGCAACTTAGTGAAATTCTGTTTCAAAATAAAGAATTTTAAAAGGGATGAGGATGTAGCTCAATAGAAAGGCCCTGGATTTGATTCTTAGTACCATAAAAAAGAAAAAATGTTTAACATATTATGTAACTAAGATTACGAAATACAAATTATGAAAAAGTATAAGTTGTTTAAAAATTCAGTAAACTAAGCCTTCTAAGTACAGTTGAAATTAAGGGATTTTTATAACATTAAATAATGTTCTGTAAAATTCTGCATTTTTACTGTTTTTCTCTCTTAAAAAAAATGAAAATTAAAGTTAACCTGAGTTCTTATATGGCAAAGCCTTTGTTACAAGTGCTCTGTACATTAAGTTCATATTCTGGAACTATTTTTGCTTTTTAGGGTCCTGGTTCTTACATCATGAATTATATAATGTATATTTTCTGGGCCTTGAGTTTTGCCTTCCTTGCAGTTTCCTTGGTAAAAGTATTTGCCCCATATGCCTGTGGCTCTGGAATTCCAGAGGTAAGCCTTGTATTATTAAATGATAATTGTTATGATGGTTTTTGCATTGAGAGAAAATGACAATTTTTGGGAAATAACTTATTTGTGATATGAAAAGTGAAATCTAAAAAGTATAAACTAAATGTAGCCATTGATCTCATAATCTGTTTACTAGGGAGGCTGATGTTTTAAAATTTTTTCTCATAACTAATTTAGCATGTGACTAGGCAAATTATCAGAAAATTTAGTTAAACATAAAGAACTGGAAAATAGCTTGTGGCTTAAAGCTGTTTAATGATTTAGTTGATGTTTTGCTTTTACAACTCAGATTATTTGTTTGCTAATTTATTCATTTTTAACTTTTACATATTTGTAGTGCATACTGTGTACATTTCTTTTGTGAGGTTGATATATGTACATAGCAGGTCTTATTTATTTATCCATTTTCCCTCCCTTTTTTCCTCCTCTCCATCTTCTTGAGCCCCTTTACATTTGAGAAAAATCTATTTCCTTTTATTTATTTTCCTTGTGCTCCTTATTTATAGTTTGAGTTTTTCATACAAGAATAACCATGTGAGTTGGAGATTTAGCTCAGTGACACAAGTGCCTGCCTAGCAAGCACAAGGCCCAGAGTTCAATTCCCAGTACAAAAAAAAAGGAGTAACCATGTGATAGTTAAGCTGTGTGACCCTGATATTAATACATTATAACTTTTTTTGATAAGAGGGTCATTTGGAAGACAGAAAATAAGAGGGTCACAATATGTCAAAACAAACTTTCAGGTTTTATTCAGTAGTAATTTAAAGGAGAATTAGACGACCTCATTTCTTTGCCTTTTATGTTTTTCTGTAGCATGGTTTTCCTACTGAACTTTCTTTTTTAAACTAAATTATAGTAATTTTAAATCTGTATTGAGAATTTTTTAATAAGGGACAATCATGCACTTGTTATATACAGTTGTCATTAATCTTTAGTAACATGCACATAAATGTTCCATTTACAGTGAAGTTTTCTGAGAAGACATACTGATTTTATTTTTGACAGCATATCCAAAAAGTATGTTTATTTCTACAATATCCGAATATCCGAATTTGTCTTTTCTTGGTTATATAATTAATGTGTAGTCCTTATAATTAAATCTGTATTTATTTTAACATGGCCTTTTATTTGTTCATAAGATAATGTAGCCTTCTGTCATTGCTTGAGAATAAGACACGTATCTATTTTATATGGTATAATAAAATAATTTTTAAAACTTATTTTAAAACATCACAAAGTTAATGTATTAAGATTTGCAGGATCATTTTGTAAGTAAAAGCAGGAAATATCTTAAATTCTCGTATGTCTTAAAAGAAAATTAAGCTTCCTTAATCTTTTTCTTTGTAGATTAAAACTATTTTGAGTGGATTCATCATCAGAGGTTACTTGGGAAAGTGGACTTTAATGATTAAAACCATTACTTTAGTACTTGCTGTGGCATCAGGCTTGAGTTTAGGAAAAGAAGGTCCCCTGGTACATGTTGCCTGTTGCTGTGGAAATATCTTTTCCTACCTCTTTCCAAAGTATAGCACAAATGAAGCTAAAAAAAGGGAGGTAAGTGTTTTCTGTAGTTCATATGATAGAAAAATATCTATTATATGGATGTGGTGAGTGACAATTTTATAGTGTAAAGATCATATTTTACTCTTCTTTTTGGATAAAATCTGTATTCAGATTAAAAATTTTTAAATTAGTTTTTCTTTTTCCTGAGTAACATCTTTCTACAATCCATCTACACTGCTGCTCAGTTACCCCTGTACAGTAGTTTAGAATACATTAGATGGATTAGCTGTTACCTTTTAGATTCCAGTTAAATTTCACAAGATCTTTATTTGCTTTCACTTTGCCTTACACATTTCCTCTTCTAAAGTGTTTTCTAACCGTATCATTGTTTTTACTCTTACTTCTCAACACTAGTGTTTCTCTAGGGAAAGAAAGCTTAATTGATGGGTTTTCTCCCTGGCAGCAGTATCTAATCCCAGTGGAAATGACACAGTATGTGTAAAAAGCTTTCAAGCACCATGGGAAGTTGAGCAGTGGGCTTTTAGGACTTCCTAAAGTTTAAATAAAGAAATTCATTTTAAACAGAATACAGGAAGTCCTTATTCAGCTGTTTTAAAACAATTTCCTCTACCATTTCTGTAGGCCAGCATGAGATCTTCTAGTAGACTTTTAAACTGTAGACTTTCTTTCCTGTTTCTAGATTGTTCTGGTATTTTCCTGAAGAAAAGTTTGGCTCCCCAGCCTTTCTGTATTGACTTGAGATTGAGAGCCAATTTCCTGTTTTCCCAATGTAATTCTGTGGCCCTTTGTGCTGCAGAGATCTTAAGAGTTTTTAAGGCATAATACTTTTTACATCCCATCAAATACTGAAAACTCAGGGGTCTTTGGCCTGAAACAGGAATTTCCATCATTTTTTATGAAGTCTAACAAAAAAGAATATGAAGCTAGATCTTAATTGAAATAACTTAGCACTTTTTAATATTAGCATTAAATATTGTTCTTGTTGGCAGTAAGTAGATGATCCAAAGTGGATGACTCAAGGGCATTATAGTTTCATCTGAATAATTTTTGCTTCAATAATTATGGCAAAAATAGCTAGCATTATGGATTACTTCCTGTATATCTGGCACTCTAGCAAGTATTTACTTGCATTTTAAAATTCAGTTCCACAGTATGGTGTTATTGTCCTCAATTATAGATTAGGAAACCAGGGTTAACACAGCCAATTAACTTGCATAAGATCACATAGCCAGTTAGTGGCAGACTGTGGATTAAAATTTGTATTTCTCCGTATTTCATATCCAGACTATTTGTATTTCATAATCCAGAGATTATGCTCTTAATTGCTATACTACATCTGCAACTATGTGGATGTTAAAACTCAAACTATATATAAGGCAAGTTAGTGGCTAAAATGAATTTAGAGTATTTGTCTCCCCAATTCAATTCTTTTACTTTCTATTGTGTCTTGACATTTTTTGGTAAGATTTATATTTATAAATTACAAGTTTGAAAATTTAATTTATGAAGATACATTATTTAAATTGAATTAATTCACCTACATTTAAATGTACACATTGTAGTCATTCATATTTATGGTATGTTGTTAACTTTCTTACCTTAGTATATGAACAGTAAGAATTCTCTTGGTAGTTGAAACCACATATTTTGGCTTTTTTCCTAAACTGTTCTTACTTGATGTCTTTTAAACTAAATGTTTCTTAGATATTCATGGAACATTAAAATGTGCATGAATTATAGATACATGAGTATTAGCTTGATTGTAAAATTAAATGTAGATTCAGAGCATTCAATTAAATTAATATGTTGGCTGTAATCCTATTAATGGGGAAAAATGGGAAATTATGTTTATCCCCCCAAGTAAGCAGCATCTGCATTCTAAAGCCAAATACTTGTCTATGTTGATCAAACTTGCATAAAGCATTCACTGAGTGCCAGGTACTGTAAACACATATAATGTGTTTACTTAGTTGATCCTTATAAGCTAAGTAATGTTATAATGTCCTCATTTTAGAGAAAACTGAGGCACATAAAAGTTATTTATCCCTGATTACTTAGCTTACAAGTGACAGAGCCGAGATTTCAACCTAGTAGCTTGACTATGAATGAAGTTCATGGTCTCATCCATTTACAATTTAATCTTTATTTCTAATTTCTTTTACAGAAATGTAAAAATTTCACTGTTTGAAGAACTGCTTTAAATAGCCACAGATATTTACTGGATTAAAGTTGTAAAAAGAATTAAGAATCTTAGAAAACTAATTACAAATAAATATCCAAAGAAATTATATGTATAGTTGGCTTCATACAGGTAATAAGTGGGCAGTGATGCTTAGGGAGCTGGACAGAAACTCAGATTTTTCTGTTTTAACTTTATTTTGAGGTTCTGGTTAGTGAGATTGTAACTTGACGGACTGTTGTTGTCCTTTTAGAATGAAGCTTCTCATATAGAGGATAGCAGTGTGTTCAGAGGATGTAGGGAAGTAAAAATATAGAGAAACTTTTAAAAATTCTTTAAGTGTCCTCAGTGTCTTGTTAGGACTTCATAATTATTAACAAATAAATCTATCTCTTCCCTCGCCTCATCTCAGTTTCTGCTCTCTCCTCTTGTCTGCACAAACATCTAGAGTGAAAGTTGTCTGTACTCTTTACCTTTTCTTCTTTACAACATAGTCACAAATTAGTATATCTAGCACAAATAGTTTTGACTGAATAATGACTGTATGAGTGAGCTTTCAATTGAATCAGAAAAGAAATATTTTCAGAAGAAATGAATACTTCCCCTTTGTTTAGGGAGTAGAACATGTAAGTTAAGTTCAGAAGCGGCATTTGGAAAAATTAATGCATTAGGAGTTTTTATTGTAGATTCTTGAGTTTATCAAAAAATAGAAAATAATCCACATCTGCTTTCTAGGTGCTGTCAGCTGCCTCAGCTGCAGGTGTTTCTGTGGCTTTTGGGGCACCGATTGGAGGAGTTCTTTTTAGCCTGGAGGAGGTAGGTATAGAAGTGCAGCAATTAAAATTATATGGGCTGGGGATTTAGCTCAGCGGCGTAAGCACCCGCCTTGCAAGCAGGCGGTCGTGAGTTCGATCCCTGGTACCAATAAAAAGTTAAAAAAAAAATTATATGGAATTACTATAACAAATATACATATTATGTTGGCACATATTTAAGTTTTATTGTTGATATCATAGATACTGAATCTTTGTTTTTAAGTTTTCATACTTATTTTTGACTGCTCTTAAATAAAAAGTAATGTACATATTAACATATGTAACACATATTTTGAAAAGTATTTTAATCGCATTATTTGTGTATAAATATTGATGGTTAAAATTGAACTTAGTTCACAAATTTAAAAGCAAGAAAATGTGAATTTGACTTGATAGAACAGTTCATCCTTGTTGGCTAACTTATAATTTATATATTTATTTTACAGTTTTAAATCAACTTTTAAGTTAGCTTTTAAGATTTTACTTGTTCTTTAACAGTTATTTTTGTTTAAAGTAGTAATTAGTGGAATAGTTTGATTTTGTTTTCCTGTTGGTACCTAAGATTTCCTTCTTATACTTTTACACTAAAATATGACTGGGAATGTCTTTAAATTTAATTTTTTCTTCTAGTTTGTGGTTTTTGTTTTTCATGTAGAAGAGGCAAATCTTTATTTGCTAACAGGCATTAATCATGATTGAAATTGGATGCAAAACTCCTTTTGAAAATAAAACAATGTTAGGTATTCTAAATAATTAGAAATTTATGATCAATTATTGTTTGTAATGAGGTGGTAGTTAATGTAATTGCACATCATCTTTTATTAGAGTAAAACTTGTAAATTCCAACCGAAGCAAAATTTAGGGCCAGTTAGACTAAAATTTAAAAATATACTTAGCGCTCAAGTTACATAAAGTTAAACACCTTCTAAGATGAAAGCATTTATTTTTATTTTCCTTTTCTTTTTTAGGTTAGCTATTATTTTCCTCTTAAAACTTTATGGAGATCATTTTTTGCTGCTTTAGTAGCTGCATTTGTTTTGAGATCCATCAATCCATTTGGGAACAGCCGTCTGGTCCTTTTTTATGTGGAGTATCATACACCATGGTACCTTTTTGAATTGTTTCCTTTTATTCTCCTTGGGGTGTTTGGAGGACTTTGGGGAGCCTTTTTTATTAGGGCAAATATTGCCTGGTGTCGTCGACGCAAGTCCACCAAATTTGGAAAGTATCCTGTTCTTGAAGTCATTATTGTTGCAGCCATTACTGCTGTGATAGCCTTCCCTAATCCATATACTAGACTCAACACCAGTGAACTGATTAAAGAGCTTTTCACAGACTGTGGTCCCCTGGAATCCTCTTCTCTGTGTGACTACCGAAATGACATGAATGCCAGTAAGATTGTTGATGATATTCCTGATCGTCCAGCAGGCGTTGGAGTATATTCAGCTATATGGCAGTTATGCTTAGCACTCATATTTAAAATCATAATGACAGTATTCACTTTCGGCATCAAGGTAAGTTTTGCTAACATCACATGGTGATAGGAAAGAAGTCATGGCGTATTCAAAACTTATGTACAGAATAACAAATGACATTCTTATCTAAAGGTAAACTGGTTATCTAAAGCTGAAAGAGCACTCATATTTTGGGTTTAGATGGTTGAGTGCTATTTGTTACTGTATAACAAATTCCCCCAAATTAGGCATTATAAGGTAACTATTTTGTTCCTGATACTAGGTCAACTGTTTGGAAGAGCTTAGCGAGGCATTTTTACTTTTGCTTGTGGTCTCTATCTTAGTTACTTTTATGTTGCTGCGAAAAAGTAATCCAGTATTCACAAGTTAAAGGAGGGCAGGTTTATTGTGGCTTATAGTTGTACAGGTTTCAGTTTATACTTGTTGTGCCCCAAGGCAGGATGGAATGGCATAGGAGAAACAGTTCATTGCAGGACAGGCTGGAAGCAGAGAGGAATCAAGGGAGCAAGAAAGCTATATATTTCTGGGGCTGAGGGTTTAACTCAGCGGCATAAGCGCCTGCCTTGAAAGCAAGCAGTCATGAGTTCAATTCCCGGTACCGATAAAAAGGAGAAAGACAAAAAAAAAAAAAAAAAAAGAAAGCTATATATTTCCAGGCTATACGCCCAGTGACCCACTTCTGCCATTAGGCTTTAGCTCCCAGCATCACACCCAGCTGTGAATCCATCAGGGGACTAGTTCACTTTCACACAGCCATGATTCCATCATCTTCCAAAAACCTCACTCATGAGTACATGAGGCTTTGGTAATGGTGGTTACATCTTCTACATGTAAGTTCAGACATAGCTAGGGCTGGTCATTTCAGAGACTTTTTCATTCATATTTCTAGCACCAGGACTGAGTAAATGAAGCCAAATTTTTGGAGTCATGGGATACCTCTTGTGCTTTTTGCAGCATAGTAGTCTCAGAGTAGTTGAATTTCATATTGAAACTTGAGGCTTCAAAAGCAAGTGTCCTAAAAGGGCTGTTTACAGACTACTGAAGAAGTCATAGAGCATGATGTCAGTTTTATTCTGTTCACTGAGGCAGTGACACAGACACACCCACGTTTAGGTGGAAGGCATATACTTAGAGGAGTGGCAGAGAATACACACATATTTTTGTTTGTTTTTTGATACAGGGTTTCACTATACAGTTTGGGCTGGCCTTGAAATCACTTTGTAGCTTGAGCTGGCCTCAAACTTGTGGAGATCCTCCTGCCTCAGCCTCCTGAGTGCTAAGTCATGATTGTTTTAAAGCCACTTGTGTTAGTTTCCCATTGCTGTAGCAAATTTCTGTAAACTCAGTGCCTTAAAACCACATAAATTCAGTCTTAAAGTTCTGAGGTCAGAAATGAGTATGTCTCTCTGGCCTAAAAATCAAGGTATTCAATGGCATTCTGGAAGCTGTAGGAGGGTCTTGTTTCTGCTTTTCTAGGTTCTAGAGGATACCTCTATTTTTTGGCTCAGGGCTTCCTTCAGTCTTCAAAGCCAGCAGTGGTTGATCAAGTCCTCCTCTGCCCTCATCACTCTATAGCTAACTCTTCTAAATCCCTCTTCAATAAAACAACAAAAAGCCACAAAACAATCCTGGTGGTTACTTTTGGCCTACTCAGATAAGAATAACATCATATTTTAAGGTCAACTGATTAAGCAATCTTGATTATCTGCAACCTTACTTCCCCTTTGCCTTTATATATTCACAAGTTGTGGGAATTAGGTTATAGATTTTTTTTTTATTTTAAAGAGATTAAGACAAAACAGGACATAACAAAGGAGATCAGAACAAAACTATGTAAGCAACACAGTATTTCACCAGAAGACAACCCGTAATTAACAGTGACTAGCATAATGTCTCTTTCTTTGAAATAGTTGAGCATAACTTCATATAGATGTAGATATCTTGAGGAAATTTGCCTGTCATGCCACGATAGTCCATAGTGTAAAAGGACAGAAATTACAAGGGGCACCTTTTCATCAAAGATTTAGCCTTGTGCCCTGGCTGTTGCTTCTCTCTCTTTTTTTTTTTATTTAAAGAGAAAAAGGAAAAAAACAGAAAAAGGGTACAAGTAATACAAAATTTAAAAAATAAACAATAAGAAATCACTAGTTAATAGATTACGTATTCTCATCTTAGAAATAGTTGTTCAAGTTACAAAATTGAAGCATATAAAGTGGACTTTCAAACAGTGAGAGTGCAAACAGTTTTGTTCAATGATCCAAAAAAACACTCAGTGATATGGTTATCTATCTTATACACTTAAATATATATGCAGTTATAACCTTTAGAACACTTTCTTTTCTTTTCTTTTGTACAATGACAATTACACATTTTGGGTTTTATTACTCCCACAGTTCTTAGTACTTTTTTTGAAGAGAGTAAAACCAAATGCAACATATCAGAGCAGAGTCAGTCAAATCAAAAGGATGGACATAATTTCTCTTAAAAAAAGTGAGAATATCATTCATTGATTAGTGATTTGTCAATAACTGTCACTTCCCTTACATGACTGTCAGTGATACATATGTGGGAACATGTCAGCATTACTGCTTCTTTCTATACTTTTGTTGTTGTTGTTAAGTCCCAACTTTCTCACTAACAGACACACGGTAAGTAGCACTGTGGTGATGACAGCTGAGTAACACTGACAATATGTATGGAGGCTAGAGGTATTTGCCAACACCTTACTAAGTCCTAGGCAGTGGCTGAAAAGTGATAATTGCTAGGAGATTGTATGTTCATCCTTTGTATGTGTACCTGGTATATTCCAAATTGCCATCAGTTTGTGCTTAGCTTCAGAGCTTTAGCTTTTCAATAGTCTTTAATTTTGCCTGAGCTGCTTACTATCCCTATTATCCTGTTACTCCTATGATCCTGTTTAAATTCAAATCAATAAATATTTTTCTCTTTTTAGTTAATTTGTGTATATATTCCACTCGGAATATTGGGAAACTCTGATTAAGGCTGCCCATTTTCCATTATACCACTGAGGAATAGCATCTCATAGTTCTGTGATTTGTTAGTATGTTGGAGAACATAATTTTGGCTTTGAGTATAGTACTTAAAACTGAATTGACTTAGTTTTATGAAAAATACTTTATATCATCCTTTTTTCCCTCCTTTCACCATGGACTAATAAAAATTTCATTAGGTACTAGTCTTAAGAAATGCCTGAGATAAGTGAATCCCTGAGATAAAGGATAAGTAATCCCTGAGATATTTTCTGTTTGTCTTAAAAATATGATTTGTTACTTTGTAACTGAACTCATAGAATTATTAAGGTACTGTTAATAAGATTTTGTTACAGTTGTATTTGTTCTAGGTTTTAGTGTATGAGTACAATATGAAAAGAATCAAAAATGTTAGACATAGATTCATAGACTGGATGTTTTGAACATATAATTAGAGGATCTCTGACTCAGAGTGTGATTACTGTTACAGGTTCCATCAGGCTTGTTCATCCCCAGCATGGCCATTGGAGCAATTGCAGGAAGGATTGTGGGGATTGCAGTGGAACAACTTGCCTACTTTCACCATGACTGGTTTATCTTTAAGGAGTGGTGTGAGGTTGGGGCTGATTGCATTACACCCGGCCTTTATGCCATGGTTGGTGCTGCTGCGTGCTTAGGTAACATCATTGTGTCTGCTTGTGTGTAGATGTTTGTAAGTCTGAGAGAGAAAATAGCCAGTAGTATTATGCTTGTGTTTAATTTGTGAATGAGTTGCTGGGACAAGGAGGGTGCAGGATGGATGGAGGGAATATATCAACAGAAATGAAGATAGTACTCTGTGGTATTGTACAGTACCTGCTGGCTTTCATTTTACTTGTTATTGTACAAGTATAATAGCATATTTGTAGTATTACATAATTACTTTATAATACAAGCCATCACAGTACAATAGAAGCTTTTCCAAGGAGAATCTTTTTTTCTTCACTGTTGAGGATTTTGGCTTACCTATAACAATTAAGATTATAAAGATTTCTCTTCCTGTAAGCAGTCTGAGGTGACCTGTGAAAATGGTTCACTAGTCTCTTGTCCCAGAAAACCCGACAAAATCATGCAAATCAAGTAGCTCAAATCTTCGTGTTCACTTTAAGAACACCCATGAAACTGTCCAGACCATCTAGGGTATGCCTATTTGAAAGGCCACCAAAAATCTGAAGGATGTCACATTAAAGAAGCAATGTGTGCCATTCCAGGGTTACAGTGGTAAAGCTGGTTGATGTGCCAGGCCAAATGGTGGGGCTGGATGGACCCAGGGTCAGTGGCCCAAGAAGAGTGCCGAATTTTTGCAGCACGTGCTTAAAAATGAGACAGTAATGGTGAACTGAAGGGTTTAAGATGTAGACTCACTGGTCATTGAACATACCCAGGTGAAACCAAGTACCTAAGATGCCCAGCCGCACTTACAGAGCTCAGGGCCAGATTAACCCATAGCTGAGCTCCCTCTGCCACATCAAGAGGATCTTTACTGTAAAGGAACAAAGTGTTCCTCAGCCAGAGGAGGAAGTTGCACAGAAGAAAAAGATATCCCAGAAGAAACAAAAACTTAAGGCACAGAGATAAATTAAGCATAAAATAAATGCAAGTAAAAGTATAAGGTTCTATAGTTGGTACTATAACAAAGCTTCACAATGGTACTTTGAGCTTTGCAGTAAGTTGCTATCAGCAATAGAAAAAGATTTATCAATGCTCTACTACTTAAGATGTATTTTTAGCAAAAGAAATGATAACTGTTGAATTTAGTGAAAAGATAAGCAAAATATCTATAAGCATTTAAGAATTTATGTGTCATCTTTGGCATGGAAAATAGTTATTTCATTTTACATTTAAAATTTCAGCTAAAGTTTGCTTATAATATTTAATTTGTTGTTTTGGCATTTAGTACAGAGTCAAAATTATATTACTAATCTTCAGAAGAATAATATCAAATAGAGATACAGAGCAGAATCATTTTCATTAAAGTAGCAAGTATTTTGTCTCCATTTTCCTTTTAGCACTGTGCTAGATACAGTGAGTGCTTCAAAGCAAGTATAAAACATGGACCTTAGCTCAACTACAATCAGGTTTGGGGATAAGACCAACACTGAGAAAACAGTAGTGAGTGATGTATAATAACTACACACAGTGCCCAGAGAGTCTGTTGTAGGAATCTAGAGACAAAAATCTGAAGTATTTCAGGAACATTAGAACTTGAGCTTTACACTTACTTGCAAAGTCACGTAATATGATCCTTCCACTGCCCATCAAAGTCAGTTACAGTCTTCTAAAGCTTGAGTCAAGATTTACCTTTCATATGGTCCTTTTTAAAAGAACTGATGCTTATTCAGCAGTTGTCCTATCAACCCACAGTTCTTTCACTGAAACTTGTTTTGTTTCTCCTTGAATTACGGACATACTGATGACCACATCAAAATTGCCCCCCTGTAATCTTAGAGATCTAATTTCTTCAAGCACTTTACCTTTAGGGTCGTTGGATCTCGATTTCTAACACCATCTCTAAACACTAAAGAGTTCAAGTCATATTTGTTCCTAAGCTATCACACTGCAGAGTGGTACGTATGTGTGGGACATTCCAGTACATACAGTGTGCAGGACTTCCTAGACTTCCCTTACTTGTAGCACTTGTCTACGGCTCCTTCGCACAGGCCTAAGCAGTATGTTTGTAAGGAAGGCAAAACTGCAGTCACTCTATGCGGCATTTCCGGGGATGGACGTCAACCTGAGCTTTATCTTCCAAGCTTAGTAGAATAAAGAAGAGAGAACCTTGCTGAAGATTATATAGTGAAGAGGGGGGAATTGGGATTGGAGTTAGCTTAGTATTCATGAGGCTTTGAAGAAACTGATCATACTAAGTACAGAGTACATTTTGGATAATTTTGGAAAATGAAGTTGAATTCAGAAACATAAAAAGAGAAAGAAATTTATGTCAGGGTTAATTTATATTTGTAATTGGTCAGGTTTTTAGCAGAACCTTGGCTTTGCCTTTTTCTTAAAATTTTTTTTTAGCTTGACGACTTGGAGAAAGTTCTTTTACTTTTTTACTGTTTTGGCTTTTGATTTTTTTCATCCATGAAATAAGAAATAATAACTATCTCATGCTTATTTTGAGAACTGAGACAAACTGCATAAAAAGTGTTAGGATAAGGCTTAGTAAAATGAATACTTAAGTTTCAAAAACATTTTAAAATTCTCTGTAAACTAGGGTATACCTGGCATGGAATGGATGCATAGCATCCATGCATAACATAGTACGTTCTTTCTACCCTTCTAATTTTAGGTTAAAAAATAGAATACAAGCCTAAAACAGAATGAACTGACAAACCTTACGAGGTTTTTGGGCAAAGAAACAACATGGTGAAAGTAGGACTTAGGAAAGATTAACCTGGGAATGTGGCTTATGAAGTAGGCTAAAGTCTGGAGTAAAGGAGGTAAAATAAAAGGGCATTCAAATTAAGCCGCGAGGTCTTCAGTGGATTAAGTTGGTAACTGCAAATCTGAGTGGGGGCCCCATCTGTGGGTATTTTGCAGGGGAGATCAGATAGGGACAGGTTAACAGTGTAGCTATTGGGGTCAAGTAAAAAGTAAGAATAAATCGAGAATGAGCATGGAGGTTGTTAGGAAGGATGTGGTGTCAGGAGTTGAAGTCAGGGAACCTGGAATGAGGATATCGTTGGGGGAAAGAAGAGTTACATTTTTTAAAACACATGGTATTTTCTGTGACATGTATCACCCAAAGTCTTTTTATATTTGAAAGTAAGAGAAACAGAACAGTAAGGATGAGCCTGTGTAATTTTTGGACAGAGGCAACAATGAGTAGAAAGATGTGTATTAGGGAAGCATCAGTTGAGAGTGATGATTTGTGTCAGCAAATATATGAATTTTCTGCAGAGAAGGGAGGAATTACTTAACTTTGTTAATGTAAATCACAAAACATCAAATATTTTACTCAATATGAAAACCAAAGAATTTTATTAAATATTCTACTTAAATATGTGTAATTTGTAAATTAGCCACAAACAAATTAGACATGATATGCTAGATTAGATTCCCTCAGAATTAATAATAAGCTTTTATAAGTGTGAAATAATGTCTTTCCTACAACAACAAATCAAACTGGCAATATTGTTTCAGTTGGTCACCTGTGATTTTTAAAATAAGAGATAAACATGTTTTAAAATAATTATAGTCTTATAAAACAAACAACTTTCGTGTTTCTCTAGGTCTTGTTAAAAGTAGCAATTACTGTCTTAAAGTAGTTTTTGATAATGCATTTCATGAAGTTCTGACTACAGTTGCATGTTCAACTGCCTAGTGTAACAGTTCTAGTGACATGTTATAGCCAAGAGCCAATCCTTCCTGACCAGCAGTGCTTATGTTTTTTCAGGTGGCGTGACAAGGATGACTGTCTCCCTGGTGGTTATTGTTTTTGAACTTACTGGAGGCTTGGAATATATTGTACCTCTTATGGCTGCAGTAATGACCAGTAAATGGGTTGGAGATGCCTTTGGTAGAGAAGGCATCTATGAAGCACACATCCGTTTAAATGGATACCCTTTCTTGGATGCAAAAGAAGAATTTACTCATACCACCCTGGCTGCTGATGTCATGAGACCTCGAAGGAATGATCCTCCATTAGCCGTCTTGACCCAGGACAATATGACAGTGGACGACATAGAAAACATGATTAATGAAACCAGCTACAATGGCTTTCCTGTCATAATGTCAAAAGAATCTCAGAGATTAGTGGGATTTGCCCTTAGAAGAGACTTGACAATTGCAATAGGTATCCTTTCTAAAATTACACACACACACAGATTCTGGAAGAAAAGAAAGCAGTAAAGTTTAATTAGGTTTTCAAAATGAGGGGGTGTTAATTTAAGTTCTGTAAAATTTTATATTCTCTGAGAAATGAATTTATGTCGCATTGTATTGTTTTTGTACTAAATACAATTTTTCAATTCAATTTAAAGGATAGGGATATAGTCCTATGATACTAATGAGAAGACCAGTGAGTCTTAATCATTTCTAATACAGTTGAATCTTCTCACAACACCTGAAGATGTTAGACGTTAGATTCATGAGGGCTAGACTTCGTTAGTCCCCACTGTTTTATAAAGGACTCTGAGCTAGAAATATCAAATGTTTGGTTTTCTCTCAAGATCATTCTTGTGAGCTCGTCCTCTCCCTCCCAGCTTACCTTGTGTGGTCATTGCTGGAGAATTGCAAAATAATTCTTGTGCCATTCGAGAAGAGAAGGTAAGATAGGAGGTGGGAGTATTTCTTAGATCACACTGGAAGCTCAGTTTGTGTAGAAGAGGAAGACAATGAAAAAAGATTACGTGGAAAGTATCTTTAGGAAAACCTACAGAATAGGAAGAATTTTCAAAGATTAGCAATTCTATCATTCCAAAGGTTTTGCTTGGTTAATAGAATAGTACTTGCTAGAGATGACAGAGTATGTTGTCAGACCTGGATGTATTCAGATGTTTTAGCTTCTGAGACATTGTTGCCAACCTAGTAGGAAAGAACATAAAATGCCATTCTTTAGGTTTTACTAGCAGCCAGCCAAAGTGAAAGAAAAGGTCTGAATTTTGAAACTCATAGAAATTGAAAAGGCTGGGTTTTTAAAAGATGAAGAAAGTGCAAAGTTAAGAATAATACATATTCCTATTGACTATATAGTTTTTTGGAAGTTTTGTCACTGTCTTGAGACAATATTGGGATTTTAGATGAGATAATGTTGATTAAGGGAATTAGAAGTACTTCAAGTATATGTGATATCAAGACATGTCATCAGAAGTGTTAGTCTTGTCATATGTCATGACATATTTTTGTTTGTGTTATTTGGAGACTGGGTCTCACAGTGTAGTCCAGACTAACTTATTTGTGATTCGTTAGCCTAAGCCTCTTTACTGGAATTACAGGATGTGCTACAACACCTGGCTCACATCATGACTTTTTGAACACACCTCAGATATTTACCAACTTACATCTTTGTAAAGTTTTACAATTTTCACTGAAAAAACAGATCTACACTGGATGTGTATATCCATATACATATATATGTAAAATTGGATTCTTATTCATACAATATATATGTATAAAATTATACTTTATGAAGGACAAAAAATTAATCATGCTGTCTTATAAAATAAAATCTTTGAGATGCCAGGTTAAATATAGTCTCCTTTTTGGAATAAAAGCAGAATTTTGTAGAATACTAAATCCAAATTCAGATTATTAAGTCACAAAAATATAAATGCTGGTTTTTTTTTTTTTTTAAATATCTGACCTATGTCAGAAAATAAAACCTATTTTCCATGCTTCAAAAGCCTGTGGGGATTTAGCTCAGCGGCATAAGTGCCTGCCTTGCAAGCTGGCAGTTGTGAGTTTGATTCCCGGTACCGATGAAAAAGAAAAACAAAACAAAACAAAACAAAAAAACCCCCAAAAGCCTGTGAATGAATGGCATAAAAATCTTAAGTATGATGGTATACTTCTTTAATCTCAGCTACTTGGGAGGCTGGAGGATCTCAAATTACAAGCCAGCCTGGGCAACATAGCAAGACCCTGTTTCTAAATAAAGTTTTTAAAAAGGGTTGGGATGTAAGTTAGTGCTTTCTGGGTTCAACCCCAGTACTGTAATCAGTCAATCTTTCAGTCCATCAATCTAGCACTTAGTAAATACTCAGTGCATGATGTTCAAATAACTTAAACCATATACTCATATAAAAAGTGATGCTCATTTGAAAATATTTTATTTGATAAAAATCATATTAGTATGTTTTTAGGTATGCATATATTATGGAGTGTTTAAGTAAATGTATCCCCTCATACACTTTTATGGTGAGAACACTTTAAATCTTAGGAAATCTCAAACAAAAGAATAAAACCAAAATTCTTAATCTTACAGATCTAAGGCCTGATGTTCACGTCTAGCATTTGTAAATCAGGGGAACATTGTATGTAGGCTAATAATATTTTTCTAAAATCAAGTATTTTAGATTGGAGATGCACTGTGTTCAGTGTTGTAAATACATGATTTTCACAGGCACGAGGCATTGGGTTCACTTCCCAGCACCATGGCCAATCAGTAAATACATAAATACGAAAATGTTTTGTTAAGTGTTAAACCATATATTTTCATTAACAGTGTTTGTTATTCTGTGTTAATGATTGATAGTTGAGGTTAATTTTAATGGAAAGTGTCATATGTGCTATTTGATATCACTGTATCTTTTTCTGTCCATGAGTATCTTTTTACTTTGTTTCTGTTGAGTTGCAGTTCTTTGCAATTTTTTTCTTTTAATTTTTATACTGAGATTAAAAGTCATAAACCTCATTATACTATTAGCTATTCTAAATTTGACTACTGTATATTTCTGATAACAACTTGACTTGCATACAAAACTATTGACTTTTATTCCTCCTACACCACAGTTCATACTATGGTATCATACTACATGTAATTTTAGTTTTTGTATTCATTAACAGTACTTATAATTAATATTTATACTCTACCATTCCGTGGTCAAGGAACAGGTCATTGACTAAGATTCTTCTTGTGGGCTAAAAGCAGCTTAATGAACATCTTTCAAAGATAATTTGTTGCTAATGGGATTTCTTTTCTTACTATCTATGATCATATTTTTAAGGTAGCCCGCCCAGTAAGTAAGTATTTACTCATAAGTATTAGTAAGTTAGTGTTTCACTTAGTGCCTGGCTACTTGGATGTGTAACAGCATGGTTAAAACATTCCAGGGCGGGGAAGTAGATAATGGCTCAGTGCTTCCTGGCAAGCACAAGATCCTGAGTTTGATTCCCAGTACCAAAAGCAAAAAACATTCTAGTATTTGCTTAGGAGCAGTAATATCTGCTGCTTAATCTAGACTGATGCCTGTTACTTTTGGCTTAAATATTTTTGTACCAAACTATTTATGTTCAGACTATTTTCACTATAACAAATACTGTATTAGCACATTTTGATTAATACTCAAAATAGAGACAAAATTGAAAGACTGCTTTATTTGCCTATTTGTTTCATTTTGGGTTTCCTTCTTCCTGTGTTTCTGTACTTTTCTCTGTCTTGTCAGACTTCTCCTTGAGCACTTTCAAAGAGTAGTTGGAAGCAGGTGGCAGGACAGAAGCACTGGATAGAGTACACTGGTGAGGGGGAAAAGTGACAGAACTTTTACCCGTAAAACCACCCAAGTTAGCCAGACGTAGTGGCACACTCCTGTAATCCAACCACTTGGGAGACTGAAGGATTGTTGAAAGTTTGAGACAAGCCTGGGCTACAAAGTGAGCCCAGGCCAGCCTGCACTGCATAATGAGACCCTGTCTTAAAAAGACAAACGAACAAAAACCCACCTAAGTCAGACTGTATTCATTGTGAGCATGGTTGTATAGTCCCAGTTCAGCGCATCTGTATTGCTCATGACTGATCTAGCAAATTATGCAATATTTCAGTATCAGAAAAAAGAAAGAACCAGTTTGTTCACAGAGGTAGACTATTCAACAGAGTCAAAACAAGGATAAAACTGTAGTTTCACCTCCAGTGCAAAGTAAGTGACAGCAGAGGTAGGCTCCATTTGCTGATGAAATCTTAAATGAGCAATTCTCATAAAATGCATAGATTTTAAAATTACATATTCCAAATAATGCTTTTTTTTTTGTTTCCCAAAGTTAGAAAACAGTTGCAAGAAAGAAAGTTTATTTACCGAAGTATTTACATAGAGACAATTGGTTATTGATAGATTCTGATTCAGTTAAATGTAAGAAATTACCAGATGGCTTTTCAGTTGATTCCTTTCTTGGTTAAGAAGACAGGAAAATGTGAAGGAGGGCCAAAAGTCATAGAATACATTTATTGTTTTGTTTTCCAATAAACAAGTTGTTCTTAAAAACAAAAAGCCTATTGATTTAACATTTTTGATGTTTTCTTTTTTCAGAAAGTGCCAGAAAAAAGCAAGAAGGTATTGTTGGGAGTTCTCGGGTGTGTTTTGCACAGCACACCCCATCTCTTCCAGCGGAAAGTCCTCGACCATTGAAGCTGCGGAGCATCCTTGACATGAGCCCTTTTACAGTGACAGACCACACCCCAATGGAGATCGTGGTGGATATCTTCCGGAAACTGGGGCTGAGGCAGTGCCTTGTCACCCACAATGGGTAAGTTTGGAGACCATGGAAACCTGTTCCCTGACCAAAATTTATGACCTTTTTTAGCAGAATCTTTTTCAAGGGAGAATGTGAATCAGTTCCCAAATGGGACTGTGACTTAATATTGGTATGAATACTTGATCAGTCCATTATCAAAGAGTGAGAAAGATATCAAATTTGCAGTCTGCCAAAACATAAATTAGCATTTTTCAAGGGTGCTGTATGTCAGAGTTGGAAAAGAGACACTGAAAACATGACTAGAATGTTGTGCATACAGTATTTTATTCTTAGAGGGCTAGAGGACCTGATCTGAATGGAACACTGCAAAAACTTGTTTTTTCTTTATAAGTATTTTCTTTTGCAAGTATGTCACGTTAATATACACAATTCTAATACAATTATATAGAATTTTGCTGTATACTTTTTCAGACAATATCTCATTTATCATGTAATGAAGGATTGAACATAAATGGAATTTGTAAATTAGCTAAAAATCTTTTAACAAAAACGGTTTCTTGTCTACCTTTTCCACCCAGCAATTTCGTGCATAAACGCCAGTGACAAACTCATGTATTAAAAATGTTCATATCGATCATTTATGTTTCTTTTACACATGAGCTACCGGGACCCTCTGTGAGAGGCACACAGGCAGGGGCTATGAAGGTGTAATGCATGGGCCGCCTCAGCAAACTGCTCCTGCTAGGCTGTGCTGCTGGCCTCATTTCCAGGACCTGGAAACTGTTTCCACACCCATCTTTCTTTAGGCCCCTTTGTTTCTGTCCAACTACTGCTCCTTGTTGGAGTTCTAAAGAACCAGTTTCACAGAAAGGCTAGAAAAGGCATCAAAGGGTACTGTAGGACTATGTATGACTGGAGAGCCAACCCTGAGCAGTATAACACTGGTTGAAATACTGTACTATAAACACCTAGAAAATCAGAGCAGGATTTGGTTTTGTTTCATTTTTGATGTTACTTTACAACATTTGTTCAAAACACCAGCGAGAAGCCTTGACCCCTGTCTAGAAAAAGGAGGAAGAATGAACAGAAAGGAAGGGAATGAATTTATTGAACACTGTCATGTTTTCTCTGATTTTTCAGGATCTCTCCAAAGTAGATGGTGTGTCTTTACACATGTAGTGATTAAAGCTCAGAGGTTTAATAATTTTCTCAACCAGCTTTCCAACTTGAAACCCCAATCTCTTGTTGCTATTTTACAGTGTAATTTAATGTATCCCTGTTCTTTGGAGATTCTTAAACTACTAAGACATTTTTTTGGCCAGTATACTATATTGGATTAAGGCTAGAAATATAGTAGATACCATATTCAGATGACATAATAGATACATTTCTATGAATAGAAAGCTATAGAAGATCCAAATGTAGTGTTATTCACTGTGCTAATTAAAAACTATTGAGAATTATGAAATCATTACAGGGGTAAACCACTTAAGGATGGGAAATTTAGAATTATTAAGTACCAAAGATACTGATTATAGAAAAGGTATGTTACTGCTACCATTTTCTTTTGCTTAATTTTGTGTCTTTTTTTTAAAATGACAGTATTTATTTATTGTCTTTTTGAGAGGGTTTTGCATTTCAGTTCAGACTGGCCTAGACTGACTTTGTGCCCACACTGGTCTTGAATGTGCAAGGATCCTCCTGCCTCCGCCGCTTGAATGCGGGAGCTGCAGGCCTGTGCTACTATACCTGGCCTCATACTTCATTATTTAAAAATTTGAAAAATACTAGTTAAATTGGATAACATTTTATAGAGCTTTGCTGGAATTTGACCTCTTTTAATAAGTTATATCTTAATTGGAACTTAAGCTATTATAAGCTGCTCTTTTCTTAAAATTGCTTTTTGTTCTTGGCATAGTTTGTCCCTTTGTGTACTAACCGACATAAATGTAATTCTCTTAGTTATGATGAACTATGACTGCAAAAGTTATTGTATTGGTAAATTTTCATACTTTATATTACTGATTAATTCCCAAGATTTTGCCGTCGGAGATATTAGAAAGGAACATGTTCCAAAGAAAGTATAAAATAATGAAGTAGATAGTGGAGGAGGTAACTAATTAAAAGTTTCATCCAATCCTGCTTGTTTATATGAAAAATGGGGTTGGAGGCCTTTTTTCTAAGAGAGTATATTTAATTGCTTTGATCATATTTTCCTTATTCTGTTCTTCACAGAAAATACATTTTAGATGTATATATGAAAAGCAAAGAGGTCAATCAGGGAGGTGACTCAGGATTTTGGGGTTTTTTTTGTATTATGTAAGAAAATAGGGTGCTTTATTCTCATGTAAAGTTTAGTGATTTGAACTCAGAAATCATGACTTTTGAAAGAGACATGACAAATGTGGGGCCTTGGATGCAGGGGAGGAAAAGAATAGAGAAATGATGTGGAAATGTGGCCTATAAATTATAAAGATGTCAGTTATTTATTGTCTCACGGTTTATATTTTAATTTAGCAGAATTTCTCAATCTTTCAGTAATAGAAGTTACTCAGAAGAAATTTGGTGACCTTATACGTTTAGAAAGTTTTGAGTTAAATACAGTTGATATTTCTTTACTGTGAACTTTGCAGAACTTTAAAAATGTTGATATTCTTTGATTGTCAGATAAGAGTTAGTAGGAGTTTTCCACACTTATTTGAAAATGAATGCAGTGGATAGAACTAATGTTGGTTGAAGCATCCTTTGGGAAGTTCTGGCTTTTGCTTGTATTACTTTTTAGTGCAAAGAAGAAAAAGCAAATTATTTTTAAGTGAGTCACATTTTGAATTGATTTGTTTTCCACGCCCTAAAATCAGTAAAGTGGCACTGAACCTGGTGTTACTGTTCTCAAATCATTTCTCTGTTAACAACAGAAGAATTGGGTGTATTTTCTCCTTTTTAGGGCTGTTTTTCTGTCTCTGTCTCTCTAAAGATTATTTTATAAGTTTGTATGTTTGCCACAGTCCTTATAAATTTATAACTTTCATCATTGTGTGCCTTGTAATACAGCAAAGTTTACTAACACAATATTAACTGAAATTAATCAATTACTTAATTGCACTTAAAAGCATGAGTAAGATTTAAACTAGTGTTACTGTATTTAACTAATTGCCAACCAAGACTGTCACATTTCCTAACTCCACCCATAAATTAGTTAACAGTTGTCTTTTTTTAAAAAAAAATTCTCATTTAGTCAAAGAACATCATCTACTGAATGATTGAGTGCCTATTTTGTATAGAGCAGATTCTGAGCTTTTTGAAGGGGGGAAGTTTTTCTCATGTTCTGAGAACTTTTCAATTTATTCTTTTTTTTTTTTTTTTTTTGTCTTTTTCCTTTTTATTGGTACCGGGGGATCGAACCCATGACTGTCTGCTTGCAAGGCAGGTGCTATGCCGCTGAGCTAAATCCCCAACCCCTTCAATTTATTCTTAAGGATCATTACATTATTTTTACAAAATAACAAGAGAACATGAGCAGAGAAATTAGTTTTCCTTCCAAATTCTCTACCTTCTCTGCTTCCTTCTTCATGATATTAAATTCTTATTTTATAAAGGACATGTCTATAGCTTTAGGACTGCTTTAAAGTCCCCTGGTGACATTCTTCAGGAAGGCAGAGTATCCAAAGGCAAAGATGACAGCCAGGTCACCAAAAAAATGCCTAATGACCCTGAAGACATTTGTGTGAGCTTCCACAATTGAAAGTACTACATTCCACTGCACTGCACTCCACTTCCCCCAACTCCACTCCACTCTACGCCATGTTAGGGATGGAGTCTCACTGTAGCTGAGGCTGGTGTTGGACTCTCAGTGATCCTTCTGCCTCAGCCTAAGGATCTGGGGAGAATTTAAATTCTTTTGAAGAAACAGTAAAGTACATTTCTGTTTTTATTATCACTATAATAATTGGTTTCATTAATTTTTATTTTAAAACAGTAACCAGACTATTGTTTTAATAGTTAAAAGCAGTGCAAGTAGTTTTGGATATCTTCATTATAAGAATTTATGTCTATAACTTTGATGTGATAATAATGATATATTAGCTTAGAATATTTAGGAAAATATGCTTAAAAGCTTTTTTGACCTGTATTCATAAGTATGTCATATTAGCTTATTTTAAAAAGTGACATTCACTTCTTGAAATTTAGACAATATTTCTGTTCGTTAGCATGATTTATTTCATGCACACTACCTTAATTTTAATTACAAACAGTAGTAAAATCCAAGGGGTTTCTGGAGTCTTCTAGGCATTAGAGCTAAGCCTTCCTCTGCAGTGGAGATAGACCAAATGGTGCTGTGCTGAACATCGTAGAAACTGGGAAATCACATTTCTTCAAGGAGAGGATACTGAGAATGGGGGCCTTACATTTCAGAGGTTATGACTATGTGTCATTGTTTCTTTTATTTTTTTCTCTGTAGTCATCTTCATTTTGAACTTTCATAATTTTGACTTTTAATTTGAAAAGGAAAATAAATCACCAGTATTTAAAAATAGCATTGTATCACCTTTGAAAGTTAGAATTTATACAGAGGGAATCTAGAATTTTAAATCATTTTTGTTTTTAATTTTCTAAAGTTCATGAGAAGCATTCTTGTGTTTCATGTTTTTATTTTCTTCTCTCATTCTTGATCATTATTATTATAACCTCTTTTAATTTAATTTCTCACACAGTTATTAGCATAATAATCTGTTTCAGGATTGTCTTGGGGATCATCACAAAGAAGAACATTTTAGAGCATCTCGAGCAACTAAAGCAGCACGTGGAGCCCTTGGTGATTAGTTGTATCAGATCTGCTCACTAGACACCTTAGAAGTCAGGAGGCATGAAACTTGTGAACTGTTCAGTTCTTTGTCCCAGATACCTGCTGAACAAAAAATTCTTCCATGTTGCCCGTGACATTTGTATCTGATCAGGTGTTTGTAAGATAAATTTAGATATGTATATAATTCCATTCATAGAAGGTAAAAGTTAGCATGTCATTAAAAGTGTTAGTTACAAGTTAAGATCTCAAATACTTTGGTAGTTCAATGAGGGACTATTATTGGATCTGCTTAAAATAAATACGGAAACTTTGTGTGCCTTGATAGATTCACTGGTTGCAGAAGGCTCCTGACTGATTAAAAATACCTGCCTGTCACCCCAAACCCTTTTTCTTTTTTTGGTTCCTAATCTATATGGTAATGATGGTAAATCTAATCTCCTAAATGATTGTAACTGAGCTTAGAATTTGGAATAGGTGACAGATTTTTTAATGGGCACACCAGATAGACTGTAATGTGTATATATACCTTTGTGATTATACATACCTTTTTTTCTGCTGTGCCATGCATACCTTCAAAGTTAGAATGTGTGTCCTGCCATTGCATTAGTGACTTGTCTGTAGATCATGTATGCACCGCTTTTATATGGTGTTTGTAGAATGCTCTAAGCAGCTTTTGGGGTCAGATGCCCTTGTTTTAACAAGCTTCATGTCCTACTGTGTTCATGATGGCAAGCCTTTAGTTATCTTACCATATAACAAAAATTGTAGAGCTTTAGCTGTTAATGCCTGAAATTATTTTGTGCTGCAGTTGTCATACCTACAGGAAACCTGTCCCTATTTGCTTAAGTAGAAACTGATTATGTATTTGTGTTGTATGCTATGTTTCACAAGTGTTTCATGCATCCTTTTTTAAAAAAAACTACTAACCAGAATAATATAGTAGTTACTCATTCATTCTGCTTTCTGCTTCACCTGTAATAATCTTTCTGGACTGCTTTTTGATTTCTCACTTTTTAAAAAAAATGCAAACATTAACATGTAAGACTTTCATAAAAGCACTGTATCTTAGTTTTGGGGACCAAAATCAGAAAAGGGAAACATTAATATACTAGAAATATGGGTATAAAATTTATTCATGGGGTTCTGAAGTTGGTAGTGGAGTTTTGTGTTTACCAGTTTTCTCTGTATTTTGTTTCAATTGTATGTGCTTTCATGAAGATTCTGCATACCACTGGGTGATCCTTAAATTATTTCTTAAAAATTGTTTAATTTTGGTTAAACAAAAGTGAAGTATTGAGGGGATTTGGATTCTTTTGTTGCTTTCTTCATGTGGTGAGAATGAATTTTCCCTGTGAAAAATGGGATCAGTGTCATATCCTGTCCATGTATTCTCTCATTTTTGTTACTTTTTTGTTGGCATACATTAATTAAAATAGCTGTACTTCAATGAGGTATGTAGTCCTTATGGGCTTAGTGGAAAGGACCTCATGGCGTGACCATAACACTTTCATATCAGTGGATGGTTGCTGGGAAAATACTTTCTGAAAGTATAATCATAAGCTGCTTGCTTTGCTCTGTTCCTGTCAACAAAAAGGATTTAGCTATAGGTATAGCTTCTAGTTCTGTTTTTTTCCCCCCTTTTATTAATAGTATTCTTCTGTTATCCCTTTCAGACGCCTCCTTGGCATTATAACAAAAAAAGATATCCTCCGTCATATGGCCCAGACGGCAAACCAAGACCCCGCTTCAATAATGTTCAACTGAATCCTGCAGATGAGAGAGAGGAAACAGAAGAGGAAGTTCATTTGTTGAATAGCACAACTCTTTAACCTAAAGGAGTCGTCCACTTTTTTTTTTCTCCTTTAAAAAAAAAAAAAAAAAAAAGGAAGTACGAAAGCCAGGTTTTTGCATCATGGTTTGGAATGGTGGAATGGAGGAATTGTTTGGGAAGGAAAGGAGAGATGTGCTTACCTGGCTGTGAGCAGCAAATCAGCTCCTGTTATTCTGCACTGGATGCATCCAGCGGAGGATGTGCTGTGATAGTGCAGGCTTGAACCTCAAGGGAGATAACACTGGAATCCTCAAACACTTGACTTGTGTCCAGTACTGCAGTGACGTGTTATCAGTCCCTATTTCTGGAGGGATTACTTTGAATTGAGCCATCTTATAAGACTGCAAGATCTTACCTTTTTTTACCAGAACTGTTCTGTTTAATTCATGAATTGTGTAGTTAAGCATTACCTTTCTACATTCCAGAAGAGCTTTTATTTCTCTTCCTCTCTCTCTCTCTCTCTCTCTCTCTCTCTCTCTCTCTCTCTCTCTCTCTCTGTCGCTCTCCCCTCTCTTTTCTTCTCCCTCCCTCTCCTGAGCTGTAACAAAGCCTCTTAAATTGGTGTACCCTTTTGAAGCAGTCCTTTCTCATATTGAGATGTACTGATTTTACTGAGGTTTCATCGCAAGAAGGCAGTGTTTCTTGTGCCATTAACCATGTAGTTTTTACTATCACTGAAGGCCTGGAACAGTGTACACACACCATGTTAAAGGGTTGGCCAACAGGTAAAATCTTGAGTGGTGTGAACAGAATCTCCCAGCTTGTGTGTTGTGTGGTTCAGAATGAAAAACAGTGAAGACTTTAAGGATAAACGATTTTTTTCCATCTCAGACTTCATGTGACCTGGTCTTATGCAAATTTTCTATTTCTAATACTACTATGATATACAAGTGCTATTCAGCATAATTAAAAAGCTGCTGCTCTGACAGTGAAGAAAAGAAAGTATTCTGTTTAGCTGTGTCTGGTATTAATTGCATGTTAGAACACTGGATATTTTTTTTCTTGAAATTAGATCATTCTTTGTTTCTTTAAGATACTTTATGGCTGACACTGAAGATAAAATGTAATTCATAACTTGCACTAAATGTATAATTCTTTTCTTAAAAATTTACCATTCTTATTTATATTTTTATGGATTAAAATTTATAAAATACAGATCAGTTAATATCGCACTTAAATAATTTTACCTTTTTAATGTAATTTTTATAAACTAATTCTGACTTACAGATATGGAGATGTGAACAACGTTTACAATGGGAGCAAGGGTTTAAAAAGCTTATGCTGACTTCTCCATGATCCAATGTGTACATAACCTTATCCTGATGTTTCACTGTCATCCTCTGGATTATGTCTTCTGACCTGTCCATTTTGACCCACAAACTGGAAAATTCAAAACATGACAGATTACGTAGTAGATTAAAACTAAAAATTAGGGTTGACTGTTTTTTAGGAAAAAAAAAAAAGAGAGAAAATTTTAAAGGTAGCAGTTAAATTCAGCCTAAGTATAACCTTTGAATCTCTGGGTATGTCATCTCCATAACAGAAGTGTTTGGTGATGGTTGGAGTAACCACAATGCACATTTTTACAGGATGAGTTAAAATGTACTGGAGTGTTTGGAATTTTCATTTTTGGAAATGTCTATTTAATCATGGTCTTAGCTCACCCTTGGCAAAGGCACTTTATTCAAAGGACTCACCTAACTGTCCTGTGATTATGCATTTCTGACAAGCAAATGACTTTGCAAACAGACATTTTGTGAAACATAACTGGCAACCATTTTTACATTTTGAAAGTGATTCTTCACTTCCTACTTAATAATATGCCTGTTAAAATCTGTAAGATCACTTAAGACCTGTATGGTCTTGAAGACTTAAGAGATCATGAAGCCATATTAGAATAATAATTGAAAGTTGAGCAAAATACTGGGAACTTTATGAATCCTTTTTAGCTGTGCTATCTGCCAAAAATTCCTATTTTGTCCTCATTACTTCCTCCATTTGGCAGACTTCAAATTTTCTTCATAGACCCGTCATTTATTTTGACTATCCAGAGTAGTTATTTCTAAATGATAGCTCTGTGTTCATGTTAAGATCTTAAGGATCTCTGCAGTGTGCAATTCACTGCTAGAGTTTCAACTCCTCAGTATGGCTAATGGATAACTAATTGTCCTGAATTACAAGCCTTCAAAGGAGAAATCAGTTTTCTTTGCAGGTAGTGTCATACATTAAATTACACTTGGATTTTATTTTGCACATTTACCTTTTCTATTTCAAGTCCTGTATCATTGCCCATCTTGCTTCAGTGGCTGACATTCAGGGTGGATACTAAAGCATAAATTTTCTTTGATGTATATCCATCTTGGAGTGTCCTACTGCTGAAATACAGGAAAGTGCTGTATTTTTAATGCATTTAGTAGTTTTCTTTGGTATTACTATCTATTCCATTTCTCTTTTTGATACATTGAAATTTGCTTTTCAACCAAATGATGAAGTAGTGGAGAACATGAGATATTCGTGCCTAGCTAATTGGCAAATTAATTGACCAATATAATAAGTGTAGCGCCTTATTTGAGTACCCTTTTTGAGAAGGTATAATGAGAATGGGCAAGAGTGTCAGCATCTCTTACTAATATTCGCTTTCAGTTTTGGTTCACAAAGAATGCTTAGTTTGTTAATCTGTAATGTTGCCTAGACCTGTATTTATCTGTTTTTATTTATACTAGTGTAGTAAAGCTGCATATCATTACAGTAAAAATGATTACTGTGATGAGTTAATCAGAAAACCCATTAAAATCTATATGACAATGTGTGGTTTGGCCTTTAATTACACCTTTGCCAGTCTTCCCTCTGTACTGCTGCACTGTGCAGTGTAGGCCAATATGCCTGACATACAGCCTCAAAAGGTGATAATTGCAATTCTTCTTTCAGGTTTCAAAGCCTGCTAGATTGAACAAGATGTTCATTTTCCTAGCAGTGGGCTAACGTACCCTGTGGTCAGTGAAAGTTACATGTCTGCAGCAAGCTATCATTTCAGTTCACATTTAAAAATAAGGTTTTATTAAGTTTTTAAACCTGTTGTATGGATGAGAACAGTAAAATTATTTTTATACGTTCAAAAATTCTCTTGGATATTTGCCAAGAGAACAGCCTTAAAAGAGAATGATGAGAAACATTTGAATGAAATTTCAGGGCCAGAGATTGAGCTCAGTGGTATAAGTGTCTTCCTGGTATGCGCAAGTTTGAGAGTTTGATTCCCAGTACCAAAAAAAATTGTAATATTGAGCTTCTAGTGAAAAGGGAAACATTGAGAGTGCGGATAGCTCTTCTACACTCAATTATTTGTTCACTTATTGAATATGTATTGAACTGTCAGGCTATTCTGTGTTGAAATTTGTATTTCAGTACGAATCTATAGTATGTAAGATGGTGATAAATACTTAAGTTCAGCAGATTTTTGCTAATATAAGCATAAAAAAATGGGCAAAAATCTGCCTCCCGATGGTCTTTATAGGAAAAAAAAGTGAAGGTCTGTACATGTTTGCATGTGCACACCCCACTGCATAGAGTAAGATAGGTAAAACTTCCAAGACAAAGTAACATTAGAGCAAGAGCCTAAAGGAGGCAGAGGAATGACACATGTCTGTGAGTAAAATCTCCCACAAAGAGAAAATGCTACATGCCCACATCCTGAGGTATCTGCCAGGTAAAGAGTACCAAACTGGGCATGGTGTCTAGAACAAGGTAAGAGGAAAAGGGGATGAAAAGGAAAGAGATTGGGCTATAAGGGTTTGAATTTTAGTCTAAAGTGGGGCACCAAAGAGGAAAGTTAATCTGACTTAAAATGACCTCTCTGATTCCAACTTATTGGAATCGACTAAGGAACCCTGCGCTTGAAATAATTTAAGTGAAATATGACAGAAGGTTGAGTCTAATTGAAGCTGGCAAAAGTGAAAATGTTTGGCTTATAGACATGTTGAAGGAATGGGTAGGATTTGATTGGTGGAGAGGCTGGTGACTCCAGGATGTCTCCAAGTATTTTATATTGTGAAATGAGATTGGAAATGGCCATTGACTGAGTTGGAGATCTCCAGTGTCTTTGAAATTTCTAAGTGGGGAAGTCAAGAAAGCCTTAGTCTACAGAGCCTTGAGTTCAGGAGAAAGGTCTAGCATGAAAGCTAAATGGAGAGGCAGCTTTCTGAGACTGAGATAGGATTGCAGAGGTTGAGTGTGGACAGAAAAGAGGTAAAAAGGAAGAGTGGTCTCCTAAACCAGGTGATTTATAGCTCAAGGCAGACCAGCTGTCAGACGTTGCTGACAGATGAAGCAAATGAGCACTGAAAGTTGACCATGAGAACAGAGCCAGAGCCAGAGCCAGTTTACTGCAATAGTGGCAAGCAACAGACTGACCAGGGACCTTTTTAAGATGGGAAGTTCTTCCTGTGACATTTTAGAAACAGTAAGTTAACAAAGGGTTTGTTTTAGGTTACAGGATAGTGCAATATTTGAGAGATTAATGATCTGAGAGACTTTAAGACATAAGGTAATATAACTTCTTTTGTTACAGGAGGGAAATTAACATCTGAGAGAGAGAAGAGTTCCTGAGTAGATAAGTGAAACACAAAGTAAAAATCAGAGACAGTCAGTATAATAGGTAGCTAATAGCCATGAGATTTAAGTTGCTGCAATTGTTCTTTTTTTTTAGTGAAACTGGATGGGGAAGGAGGTGTTGAAAGTTTAAGCAAAGATAAAAAGGAGTAGGATCAATGAGCACTGAGCCTGGCCAACTTAATACCAGCCAACGTGATTAATTTTTCTACTTAATATAAACATTCCAGTAAAGGGTGGCCTTAAGTTTATTTGGCTTAGATTTCTAACATAAATACACCAAATGGAGGTGAGTGTATAGGAATGATGATAATGATGGAGAATTGGACTAAAAGCTTGGATAAAGAAGGAGGCCAAGAAAGGAGTAGAATGAGGTGGTTAGTGAATTTTAGGAAGAGCCAGAAAGATGGGTGATGATGTTTGTATAATTGGATGTTTGAGATTAGGAAGATGTTCATGATTGGTACTGACAACATACTACTGTACAGTGTCAAAACTTAGTGTAGGTCACTTACAGAGTAATTAAGTTGAGGGTATTGAAGGGACTACATTCACTATGATCATAACAGTTTGAGCACAGTAACATTAAGCCAGGTAAGGTTAATGTTTGAGCTAGTGCCAGGGTCTTATGTCATTACCAAGTTGTTTATGTAGCATTATCTCCCAGATCATGTAATAGCTTTTGTTTTCCTTCAGATGTAGCACCCTACATGCATGTTTGAAAAGTTAATTGAAGTTTGAGTTGATAATGATTTTGTGTTAAATGCTTATTGAATCAAGATACTTTCTTAGCGTTTAGGCACTTAAAATATGTTAGAGAACAAGTAGATTAAGTGCCCTTTGGATGCTAGTGGGCAGATCCTAGGTAGATAAAAAGGGTTATGCCTTAGTGAAGGGGAAAGGCTTGGTGCTTCACAATAGGGATGCTCTTTAATGAAAAATGTTTAATAGTTGGAAGTCCCTTCTGATTGGAATTTGACTGCATACCCTCATTAGTTCTAAAAACTTGTAAACTTGTAAACCTCTTCTAAAAACTTCACAACTATATTATCCCGATTATAACTACCATATTCTTGGCAATAGTGTCCAGTTTCTATCTTTGCTCATACTCCTAGCTTTCTGACCATCTTCAAGACATGGGTGAAAAACTAATCTTTCTGTTTGTTGGCAAATCCTTTTTAAATTCATATTATTGATCATGAAGCATATGAAAATCTTAGAACTATATACTTGTAACTGGTGGATCACAAAATGGCAAAAAATAGGTATTCTAAGCTTGCAGTTCTACCTTAATGGAAGACACCTGAATTTGGATGTTTTATAAATGTGTTAGTATCGAGGGTAGTACTTAGAATAGTTTAGCATCACCTTACAAGCTAGAGAAGTCAGAGGGGAAAAGCTCAAGAGCTTCTAAAGTGTAAGTTTAAAAGATCAATGTGAACTGTCAGTGTGATGCTTCAATTTAAAAGTTGAGTTTACATGGGCCCAGGATTTGGCCCTACTTAACCTAACTGAAGTGGCAGATGATTAGCACTTCTGAGACTGCTGAGATGGAACTGTAGGAATTCTGGGTACTAGTAAAAGGAAAGGTAAATGTCAGCCTCATTAAGGAAACCTCTCACCTTCTGACTCAGGCTGCCTGGCCCCAGAAAGGCAGCAGATCCAGGCTGTAACAAGAGGGGATTGGACTCCGGCAGACACTATTGTCAGAAAATTCAAGAATTCATGGGCATATTTCCCAATTCATTACAGCTTTTCATTTTATTTCCCATTTCGAGAGGGGCATGTGACAGAGTTGTTTCTAGTATACATTCAGAGGTCTGTTTCTGAGGGAAACATATTTGTAAAATTTGCGTCTTTAAAATATATGTAGCCTAATTGAGACTTGTTATTCAATATTTGAACCATGTTAACAGTGTACTTAACACCTTCTATAAAATGACTAAGTACTCAAATATTTTGTTTGCAGCAGCTGACGTAAGAACTTTGGAGAACTATTTAGCAGAAACTCTTTGGGCAAGTGGGGTCAAACTAGATGAATTGAGGGCTTTTCTATTTTGAAATTAACAAAGCCTGCTCTGCAAAATATGCATTTTATATTTCATAATTTGTTGTTCTCAAGATGGACATATTGTCAGGTTGAAGGAGAATCTTAATTGGATTTATACTAGAAATCCAATGGGTGATTTGTAGTGGGCAAGTTTAATGGCATATAATTAATAGTATACTGTTTATCCAAATAGTGTGCTATCTAGAATAGTAAATTGCAGTCAAAAAAATGGATTTTAAAACTATACCTAATGGGATATTTGCATACTTAAACTAAGAGGACACATGCAAGTCACCTGGGATATTCTCAGAACAAGTTGGTGGCCTGGGGTCAAGTGCTGTAGAATATAGCACTGTTAAGAGTGTTTACTTCTGTGCCTCTCCTTGTCCCTGTAAACTCCATCATTAATGCTAGAGCTCTTCTAACTCAAGACAGAAGAAACAGATCTTAGTTGTCCACATAAGAAGTGCTGGGTTAGTGTCCTTTGTGTGAAATTCTTGGAGCCAAAAGTGTTTCAGATTTTAGTTTTTCAGATATTGGAATATGTGCATTGTCTTTATCAGGTCAGCATGCCTAATCCAAAAACAAACATGCTCTAAAATCCAAAACTTCAGTCATGCTGGGATCAAAAAGTTGCAGATTTTAGAGTTCTGTATTAGGGATGCTCATTCTACGTTGAAACGGGGCTCCTGGAATGACAGGACAATGTAGCTATCCAAAGGCATTTGTCAGTAACATTCAGAGGACAACCCTAGATATCTTAATCACATTTTGGGAGACATCACCAATTATGAGATTGAACTGCCATTTGCAAATGAAAGAAACAAAAGTCAGACCAGAAGAGCCCTATGAAAATTCTTAGTAAATGTTTCCTTCAGTTTATTTTCTATATTCCTTAAAAACAAAACTTCAAGTTTGATTTTAGTAGTTTAAAACTGTACACCAAAGCAAACTCATTTATCCTGCAAGTTGGTCTATGTTCTCTCTACTTCTGTTGGCCAGGTGATCCTCGATAATTTCTGCAAATAGACTCCTCTTCAGCAGATTATATGCAAGAGGTAAAAGCTGTCCAGCCACTTTGTGAAAATACTAAAAAATAAAAGGATATAACACTGGTCAGAATAATATATCTTAGCAAGGAACAGAAACT